GAAATCTAAAGAGTAAAAGATCACTATCTACTTACAAAATATTAAATAAAATGTGAAGGTAGGCAAGAAGTCATAACCCAAAATAACCATATATTTTATAAGCTTTAGATCTCATATTTTTGTTGATCATAAAGTAGCAACCTAAATTTTAAGAGATCAAATATTTTGAGCTTAGCCTAAGAATAGTTTATGTGCTAATGAACAATTTTTTTTATTATTGGTTAGCATTTAGTTAGTAATACTATTTTATTTGTATCAACACAAAGAAAAATAGTAAACATTAGCAAAATTAATAGTCAAATCCAAAATGTCCTTATTACACAAAGAAAAATGTATTTCTTAATGAATTTATCAACTTCATTTAAAAGCTTAATAATTATATTTTAATTTACAAAATAAAGCATTTAGTTAAAAATCATGCATATTATATTCTTATAGAAAATGTGGGAGCATGGAATGAACAAACAAGTACATCACAATAATATTATTTACATAAATAATAAATTCTAAATTACTGATTTTAACATTGATAGACATAATCTCTTTTTATAGAATAATAATGGATTCCAAATATTATTATAAAATTTCCTTTCTATAATTAATTCTTAATCATTCATTGAATACTATTTTTGTTTAGCTTTTATCTCATTAATCTATTATAAATATAAGAAAGAAAATAGAGAGGCATATATGATATATTATTTTCATATCTCCGTTTTATGAAAAGATTTTATTAGCTGATATTATATTATTTATGATATTTATCTTTTAATGTAATTCTTTTTACATAAGTTTGCCTTTACTCTCGCCTATAAATAAGGGGTTAGAGGGCAAGCCTTAGGAAACAATAACCAAATTCTCTACTTTTTGGTTGAAAATCTTGCGAGTACGATTTGGGTATCATTCACAAGCAAATTTGGATCTAATATCCTTAAAGGTGCGGCGAGCATCGAATGATGGCAATGACTACAAATCAAGCTTTACAAATAAGAGAACAACAAGAGAAAGGTAAGAATTTTTATCAACTTATACTTTTATTTTTTAATGGTAACTTAAATTAATATTTGTAGCCACTGAGCAATCAATTTTGTTGCAATTAAATCAGGATTATTTTTTAGATGTGAATAAATATATAATTTCATATTATTTATTTAAAATTTAAAATATTTGCAATAACAAAAAGAAGAACAAATAAGCAAAGGATATAGTCTTTTCTAAGAAATTTTTAGCTCTTTAATGCATCCTTAATGAGCTCATTGATTTTATTTCAGGTAAAAAAAGGAGAATAATTAATTACTTATAGATAGCACTTTTACTCAAAAATACTTTGAAAAATTAATGCTAGCTATTCCAAATTACGATCTAAAAAATAATTATAAATCAATGCAATTTATTTTTTTTTTTATATTATTAATGATTTGGCATCATGCATTTGTTAACTTATAACTAACTGTCTTTTAATTATATATATATATATATACATACATATAGACTTTTATTGGAACAATTTTCTCACTGTTTTCGACAATAGTTTTCTAGTATAAAAATTTCATAAAAATGAAAAGAAAAAAAAAGCAGTACCAAATGAAATCTTAGGCTTTGTTTGGGGCGGCTTTATTATTGTTTTTTGAAGCTATTTTTTAGTACAAAATTTTAAATTTTGTACTAAAAAGCTTCTTTAAGAAACGGTAAGAAAGTCATCCCAAACTAAGCCTTAGTCAGAAAAAAATAGCTTCCCAAACTCTATTTGGTATGTAGATTTGTATTTTAAGTAGTGGTCAATATTCGATAATCATTTGGACTTATTTTTATTTTTAAATTTCCAATAAAATGGAGCTGGAATCAAGAAGTATCTAAGCTGTAGGAAATGTTTGAGATCCTAAAGCTTTGGAAGGGGGTAACTTGGAGCAATTATTTTTCTGACAGGAGTGTCAACTTGGAGAAATCAACAAAGAGCTTAACATAATGAGTACAATAATTTATTGAAGAAAAGTAAAAATAGTGAGCGGCCTATTAGAATATAATATTAGGGAAAAAAAATAGAAGGTTATTTCCTTGGTTGCTGCTTCATTTTTATTAGCAAATAAGCTGTAGCAGAAATTAAGTCCCATCTCTAACAAACATGTTTAACAAACTGTACCTAATCCTATTTATATAGACTCACTTTGAGCACTGTAATCATTTAAGCTTTTACATATAGAAAGTACATTTTGTCTCCTACATTTTCTCTGTCATCTGCTTCCTATTGTTGTTGGCTGATTCTTTTCATTCAACAATTCAACAAATTTCCCCTTCGCTGTTTCATTTTCTCCTCCGCCTGTGGAGCACACTTCATTTTTCTTTCGCTTTTTTCTCACGACTCACATACGGCTTGCTTTCTTTCGACCCAAACGGTTTGCTTTGTTTTTCCCTTTACTTCTTTTTTGTGATTTGGGACTCACGACCTCGAGTACTACTTTAGTATTCCTTTAGCTCCTCTCTCGCCCCCAAATGAAGACCACCATTGACAGATATTTATGTCTAAGCTCTAAATGCCATGTTATTTGCATTCTTAATTTTGAACTTATAGCTCCTTTTGGCTCCGTTAATGAGGCGACAAACAGAACTATTTTAATGTATTCTAATATTTCAGATTAGACTACAAATGAAACTATTTTAATTTAGGTCTCCCTGAATAAAATTTTTGGTGCGACCATTGAGTTTAAGGTACTGCTTGGGACGACTTACAATATTTTAGTACAAAATTTTTAGTTGAAAAAAATTTTAGCTAAAAAATTATTTTAAAAATAGTAAAAAAGCTGTCCCAACGAAGTCTAAATCGTTAGATATATTTAAAACATAAAGCAAAAAAAATAAATTGATGTGCCTATATATATTTTAAAATAAATTTGTTGATAATATTCATGGAATAAAACTTTGAAGTCACAACAGCTGTAGATAATTATTTCTAAGAGCTAAGGGTGCCTATATGCTTTAAAAAACAGTAAAAAAGCTGTTCCAAATGGTGCCCCCCTTGAATAAAATTTCAGGCTCCGCCACTGCTCTCATGCCATTGTAAAACTTTTTATATTAAGTATCTCTGTACCGTTTACATTATGAATAGTATTACTCTTTCTACTTTAGCTTTCTTGGATCTGTTCCTTCCGATGTCTTCCTCACGGTTCTTGCCGTGACTCTATCATGGTATCAAGAGCCACCATGGGAGATTAATAATCCATCAGTTCTCTAGTCTTTATTCTGGCGATGTCATCTCATTCTTTCTTCATTAACTAATAAGCTAAGGAAAGATGAGCGGCAAAATAGTGAAGATTAGGCGGTTAGAGGACAAGACTGATCGTCAAATGTATTTTTGGGCCATGAAGAATGAACTCCTCGAGAAGGCCTAGCTACCATCTCTCTCTTCTCTGTGATGCCGAGGTTGCTCTCATCATCTTCAATGACCGTGGCAAGCTCTATGAGTTCGGCAGCGCTGCTACGTATACTCTCTCTCTCTCTCTCTCTTACAATGATTTGTTCAAGTTCGAAAGTAGATGATGAAATTAAACCCTAAACAAGTCTAAGACTTTGTCTCCCTTCTTCCTTGCATTTAAATGATTTAGGGTTTACTTTGGTTAAATATATTATTTTGTATTCTCTTTTGCTACTTTTTTTTTTGCTTATCGATTGTTCTTATCTCTCTATCACTCTCTCTCTTATTCACGCAATGGAGGAAGCACTACTTTTTTTAAATATCTTGGAAGTACTAACTTTTATTTTCTCTGTATTATATAGAATAAACAAAACAATTGAGCGCTACCAACGACGTACTAATCATGAATTACAGGTGCATTTCACTACCATCTCATTGTATCAAACTGGAAAAAAAATGAAAAAAAAAAGTGAAATGTACCTGTAATTCATGATTAGTACGTCATTGGTTGCGCTCAATTGTTTTGTTTATTCTATATAATACAAAGAAAATAAAAGTTAGTACTTCCAAGATATTTAAAAAAATATTCATAAACGAATTTTGACAATTTTCATTTATGAGCTTAAAAACTAAATGGCTAAATTTCTAAAATAAAGCATCAAATTTGAGATCACACAAATTATATTCAATAATGTAACCATATTCTTATAGAAAATGGTGGAGCATAGAATAGAGAGAGAACCATTGCAAGGGGAGTTGAAAATGACTTAAACAACTTGGAAGATAAAATATATATATACATCGTTAAAAAATTAGCTTAATCGGGCACGAATGTCAAGGCAAAAGTTAGTTTGAAACTTCAAAAATTAATTTTGGGAGCACCCAAACTCCGATTTCAGTGAGCTTACAGTCAAACTGAGTGTCTCGGAAATACAAACCCAACGACACCAAGATCAACCCAATCCGAGCCCAAATGAGTCCAAATCAAGAGCTCAAAGTACTGTCGGAAGGTTCAAACAGCAATTTGAGTTACCAAACGGTCTCCGATTTTGACGAGCTTATGCTCGAATCGAACGGCTCGACAAGATAAATCCAACGAGCCCAAGATCGCTGAATTCCGACATCATTAAGGCCTCCAAATGTTCGACAAACGGTACACGATCTAAGGGTTCACTATCGGCCGTCCATTCGAACCACTCCCTATTCGCTCTTGATCTCACACCTATTTACGGGCCATGCCACTCCATAAAATCTATAAATAGAACCCTCATTCTTCACAAGAGAGGATCTAAGCAAGAGAGTGAAGAAGAGAAGAGAAGGAAGAAGAGAAGGAAGGAGCTCCTCCTCGACAGCCGCCGGACCACCGCAGGAACCTCGCCGGACCACCGCAGGAACCTCGCCGGACCACCTCAGGAACCTCGCCGAACCACCGCAGAACCTCGCCGGACCACCACCTTAAGGCCCGACGTTCATCCCCGACGTCCTGCCAAAGACCCGACGTCTTGTTCAAGGCCCGAAGTTAAGTCCCGACGTCCTGCTGAAGACCCGACGTCCTGCTTCAGGGCCGTCCCTAGAAGAACGTATCAGAAAAATGGAGGAATCTCAGAATGAGATCCTTCAGCTTTTAAGGGGAGCTAGAGGACCAATGCCGGTACCCCAAGAAGATGCTCTTCTCCCTCGAGATCAGCCAGGATTTGAAGACATTCTTCATGTCGAAGTCCCCCTTCCTCCACCAAGGATGCGTCCTCCTACACGTCCAGAGAATGAACTTGCTGATACAGCAAGCTCTACCCATCCTTCGCGCATGGGTCACCGACAGCATATGCCACCGGACGTCCCTGAGGACTTGGACCAACAGCGCGTCACTGAACTCCCCCGTAATACTCTACGGCATGAGTTACGAAGATTAGTCCGAGAAGAGTTCCCCACAGGGGGTATTAGGCAGTCCCTTCACCAACGGGACATTCAGGAGTCATCACCTTTTACCGAAGCTGTCCTCCGATATCCCGTTCCGGCAAGATTCAAACTCCCAAATATTGATTCTTATGATGGGACTTCAGACCCCTACGAACATATTGATCACTACCGCACTATTATGCATATCCAGCAGGCCCCAGACGCTCTGCTCTGTCAAGTTTTTCCGGCCACCCTTAAAGGGCAGGCCCGGACATGGTTCTACTCCCTACCCCCTCGGTCCATTCCCCTATTCGTTAAATTGGCCAAATTGTTTGTCGAACAATTTGTCGCCAACCGAAGGATGATTAAAGACTCCTCCCACCTTTCGGGGATACGACAGAACGAGGGTGAATCTCTCAAAGAGTATTTTCAAAGGTTTTCTACGGAAGCCCGGCAAATTCCAGGGGTAAATCCCGAATTGCTACGAGGTGTATTTCTAGGAGGGCTTTGTCCAGGCCCCTTCTACTCGTCACTCATGCGAGAAACGGTCCATTCTTATGCGGATTTAATCCATCGAGTAGAGGCCCAAATCACTGCCGACGAAGCCATCAATGCTCATAGAAAGCAATTTGAGCAGACAACTGGGAAACGTAAAAATCCTCTAGGGACGGAGAATCTCCCATCACAAAGGAAGAAGCAAGGAATGTATAATCTTTCTCCTCGGCCCTCACAGCCGCGACGACAACCTCGCCAAGAGAAGGAGTACACACCACTCAATACATCCCAAGCGAATGTATTGATGTCCGTCCAAGATCAGGAGAACACAAAATGGCCACACCCTTTAAAGCCCAATGTCAGAAACCAGGAGCAATATTGCCACTTCCACCGCAGCCGTGGACACACTACTGAAGCATGCAGGCAACTCAAAGAAGAAATTGAGAGACTGATACGACAAGGGTATCTCCGATAATTCATTAAGAATACACCAGCCCGAGAAGAAGTCGGTCCGACTGGGGGGCAGAAACAACAACAAAGGCAGTCAATAAATAATCACCAAATAGTGGGAGAAATTTAAACTATTGCTGGAGGCCCATCAATACCTTGTTAGGTTCTAATCGTAGAGAACAAGGAGCCACCAACAAAAAAGCTTCATGTCGATCACTCCATCACCTTCAAGGAGTCTGATCTAGAAGGCGTAAAGACTACTCATCAAGATCCACTAGTGATTAGCGCAGGAATCGGCGACCCATGCAACAATGTTAAAAAGGATCTTGGTAGACAATAGAAGCTCAGTAAATGTTCTATTCTACTCCACTTTTCTTAGCATGGGCCTATCTAGAGAGAAACTCCAACCTGCTGCCGGTCCACTGTACGGATTTGACAACCGACCTGTAAGAGTTGAAGGAACCATTACTCTCCTGGTCATACTTGGAGAATTCCCCCGTCAAGTTGAGCACCCCATTCGGTTCATTGTAGTGAAGTCCGAATCAGCCTACAATGCGATCTTTGGAAGGCCACTCCAAACAATCTTCGGGGATGTTGCTTCAATTTCCCACTTAAAGCTCAAGTTTCCTATCCCATCGGGGATCGGAACAGTACGAGGAGATCAACAAGTAGCACAATCATACTATCTTAGGCAGGCTCAACCGCACTCATCAGTTACTCTAAGCATCGAAGACTTCGATCTTCGGAATGAAGATACCCCTCAAAGGGCCTCCCTTGTAGAAGATCTTACATGTGTCTCTCTATCAGAAGAACATCCCTCGAGAACAGTACAGATCGGATCACTCCTCTCAGATATAGAGAAAAAAGAATACGTAGACTTTCTACGTACAAACCAAGATATATTTGCATGGAGTTCAGCTGATATGCCCGACATTAACCCTGAAGAAATTATGCACTCCCTCAAGATCAACCCAGCATGTAAACCAGTGATTCAAAAGAAACAAAACTTCACGCTAGAACGTCAGCTGGCAATCGAACAGGAGGTTGATAAGCTTTTAAAAGCAAGATTTATAAGGGAAGTACACTACCCAACTTGGCTAGCCAATGTCGTGATGGTTCGGAAGACAAATGGAGCTTGGAGAATGTACGTGGACTATACCGATCTCAATAGAGCTTACCCCAAAGACAGCTTCTCGCTCCCTCGAATAGATCAACTAGTTAACGCCACATCCGGACATCAGATGTTAAGCTTTATGGATGCCTACTCCGGATACAACCAAATACAAATGGATCCCGCCGATGAGGAGGCAACATCTTTTCAAACGGATAAAGGGTTATATTGTTACCTGGTAATGCCATTCGGGCTCAAAAATGCAGGGGCAACTTACCAACGACTTATGAATAAGGTTTTTAAGAACCTTATTGGGCGTACCATGGAAGTCTATGTGGACGATATGCTGGTAAAGAGCCTCGAGAAATCTCAGCATATCTCAGATTTGGAAGAATGTTTTAACCTCCTCCGATCTTACAACATGCGCCTCAACCCCTCCAAATATGCATTTGGAGTCCCCTCAGGAAAGTTTCTGGGGTTCATGGTTACCCACCGAGGGATTGAGGCCAACCCGGAAAAGATCAAGGCCCTAAGGGACATGCTACCCCCGAGAAATATCAAAGAAGTCTAGAGACTGAATGGAAGGATTGCAGCACTCTCCCAATTTTTGGCTCGTTCAAGAGATAAGTATTTACCTTTCTTCAAGATCCTCAGAGAAGCTCGTAGCTCAGGATTCCAGTGGACTGATAAATGCCAAGAGGCTTTTGAACAATTCTGGACTTATCTAGCCTCACCACCACTACTCTCAAAGCCAATTCCAGGGGAAATTTTGTATATGTACATGGCCGTCTCTTCTCAGGCTATAAGTTCGGTCTTGGTTCGAATGGATGATACGATTCAACGCCAAGTCTATTACATTAGAAGGTACTTTCAGATGTTGAGATGTGTTATCCATTGGCAGACAAAACAGCCTTAGTATTAGTTTTCTCAGCCAGAAAGTTACGACCTAATTTTCAGGCACATACGATCAGGGTTTATACAAACCTACTGCTGAAAAATATTCTCCAAAAACCTGAGGCATCTGGAAGATTGATCAAATGATCAGTAGAACTTGGAGAGTTCGATATACAGTTCCTACCTAGACCCGACATCAAGTCACAGGTGCTTGCCGATTTTGTGGTCGAATGTATTAGCTACACCTCCGATGAATCGCCTGATGTGTCTCCTTCCTCCTCCTACTGGACATTATCTGTATACGGAGCTTCTGGGAGTTCTGGTGCTGGCGCTGGAATCTTATTAATCTCCCCGCATAAAGCTACACTCTAATACGGGCTTAGACTGAAGTTCCCAGCAACAAACAATGTTGCTGAATATGAAGCTTTAATCGTTGTATTGAGACTGGCAATTGATTGCGAAGTCCAAGACTTAGTGGTTCACATTGATTCCATATTGGTTACTTCTCAAGTAGAAGGGAAATTTTATGCTCACAATCCACTTTTAGCTCAATACTGCCAGATAGTTAAAACCTTGTTGGCCCAAATAGCAAAGTATTAGGTCATCCATATCCTTCGAGAGCAGAATGCGAGGGCAGACTCTCTCTCCAAGCTAGCAACTTCTACAACGGGAGATGTTTTCAAAAGAAAATTTATTGAGGAGATCCACTTCCCGAGCATTCAAGGCTCATGGGTACTTCAATCAATAGATGAATCAAAAGAAACTTCTTGGATCGACCCCATTCTCGATCTCCTATAAGAAGACTCTCTCCCTGAAGACCCAACTATGGCAGTACGACTTCGGAGGCAAGCAGCCAACTTCACCATTATTAACGGAGAGTTGTACAAACGATCTTTCACAGGGCCATACCTCAAATGTCTTCCTCCTTCGGAGGCGAACTATGCACTTTGCGAAGTACACTCGAGTATTTGTGGGGAACATTTGGGCGGAAGGGCGCTAGCCCAAAAGGTCTTGAGACAAGGGTTCTACTGGTCGACGATAAAACAGAACGCATTAGAACTCATACGGAAGTGTAACAGTTGTAAGTTGCATGCCAACCTCACTCATCTACCCGCCATAGAGATATCGACATTACAGAGTCCCTGGCCTTTTGCCCAAAGGGGGATTGACATAATGGGACCATTTCCTATAGCCACGGGACAGCGAAAGTTCATCATATTCACTGTCGACTATTTCATGAAGTGGGTAGAAGCAGAACCACTAGCAAAGATCACTGAAGCAAATGCCAAATAGTTCCTGTGGAAGAGCATAATATGTCGCTTTGGCATTCCTGCAAAAGTTATTACTGATAACGGGACACAGTTCACCGGAAGGGTCTTTACCACATTTTGTAAAGATCTCCACATCCATCTAGTACACACGGTTGTGGCTCATCATCAGACTAATGAGCAAATAGAGGTCACTAACTGGACCATTCTGAGAGGATTGAAGACACGGCTGGAGAAAGCTAGGGGGCAATGGGTTGACGAGCTCCCAAACATCCTTTGGGCCTATCGTACTACAGCAAGGACTCCAACAGGAGAGACGCCGTATAACCTCTGCTTTGGCACAGAGGCTGTCATTCCAGTCGACATTGGAGTCTCCAGTCATAGAGTACAAACTTTCGACTCCAATACCAACGACGAAAAACTCAGGCACAACCTAGACCTCCTTCCAGAAGTAAGAGACGGGACAATACTTAAGGTTGCTGCCTACCACCAGAGAGTTACCCGTCACTATAACAGAAGGATGAAGCCGCGACGTATATCGGTAGAGATTTGGTCATATGCAGCATTGAGGCGGCAGGCAAAGGCTCTCAACGAAATAAACTCTCCCCCCTCTGGGAAGGTCCATACCTAGTAGCTGATATGGTGAAGCTAGGGACTTTGAAATTAAAGGACGCTGAAAGGAAGATGTTTCCTCGAACTTAGAATATCGAGAACCTCCGCAAATACTATCAGTAGAGTGTGATCGTGTCGTTTGTTTTAAAATATTGTATGTCTTTAGTATTAGGTGCCTACTGTATGTGTCTTTAATTTCGAACGTTGTTTGTGATGTTTCTAGTTTCCTTCTCCCTTAAATTGTCTTTGGGAGCTATGTTCTTCGTTTAATAGCAGTAAAGACTTTGGGTTATGAACTTTAATATGTTTGATTTGAGCAATAGATGACTATTATTCAATTGTTAGTTGATCAATCCTAGGGGGATTCGATCGGACCTCTTCCACACAGATTAACGCCATCGAGTAGGGCTCTGGCACACAACCTCGGATAGGTCTTATATCCTTGGTGGGTTCTCCAGACCTCTTCCACACAGGTTAATGCCATTGAGTAGGGCTCTGGCATACAACCTCGGATAGGTCTTATATCCTTGGTGGATTCTCCCGACCTCTTCCACACAGGTTAACGTCATCGAGCAGGGCTCTGACTCACAACCTCGGATAGGTCTTATATCCTTGGTGGATTCTCCCGACCTCTTCCACACAGGTTAACGTCATCGAGCAGGGCTCTGACTCACAACCTCGGATAGGTCTTATATCCTTGGTGGATTCTCCCGACCTCTTCCACACAGGTTAACGTCATCGAGCAGGGCTCTGACTCACAACCTCGGATAGGTCTTACATCTCTTATAGATTCTTTTAACCTCTTTCATACAGGTTGGCGTCATCAAGCAAGGCTCTGGCGTACAACTTAGAGTAAACAGTACATCCTTAGAGGATCCTTTTAAACTTTTAAGCACAGGTTGGAAGATAAATACCTTAAACAAACATAAAAGAAATTCACTCAGAATAGATAAATACACTGGAATATTTAAGTCATATAGCAACAGAACGATAATCCACTACTAAGTCAAAGTAGATATCACACAACAGTACAAAACATCAGGTACATCACAATAACTAAAAAAGACAAACTAAAACAAACAACAGGAGCTAGAAAGTCTACTCAACATCTACTATCTCATCATCTGCATCAAGATCGAGGACCTTCCGAAGATCACTCTCTACCTCATCACCATCAGAGCCTGAAGGAAAGTCAGCTGAAGCCTGGCTAGGGGTCACCTCTTCGGCTGGAACTCCGGTCTTTCGCTGCATCAGGCGAACCCCCTTAAAGAAGCCTCTAATAAATCCGTCCTCAGTGCACTGCTGCTCCAAACCCTTCACCTCTATAGCATAGATGTGATCTCGGGCCTCCTCAACGTGATCCTGGACGATAGTCTTGAATGCTATGGACTTCTTGAAGTCTTCAATAACTCTTGAAGGTTCTGAGCTGGACAAGGCAGCCTCCTTCTCAGCTATAATGGCCTGAGACTCCTTATCCTTCATCTCCAGCGACGCAATCTTCTCCTCTGAAACTTTCTGCTCCCTCAAAAGTCTGGTGATCGTCGCGTGAGCCTCCTCAAGATCTATCTGGTGCCGATCTGCCTGCTGATTCCGGAGAGTTACAGAGCGCATTGAGTTAGCCAGCTCAGTCCTGCACTCGCTCAACTCATCTTCAAGCACCTTCACCTCCTTAACCTTCTGATCATATTTTCGTTTGAACTCTCCCTGGAGGTACTTGATCTTAACAAACTCAGTGTTCCAGTCATTAACTGCGATCACAGCACGTGACAGCTGAAAATAGAAAGAAAAGTTCATTAGAAGTCACCTCAGAAGCAAATGAAATAAAAAATATTAGGAGATGTTACTCACCAAATTACTGGTCTTGTTATGTCCGAGGCATTGATGATTCATGACATCATCAGGGATATGCAGCTTGGCTGGGGAAGAGTCAGGTAAGGTCTTGTCAGTGTTCGTTTCTTCCAACCTCTTCTTCTTCGAAATCGGGGGGTCGTCAACCCTTGCCGGTCGTTTGGGAGCCGCTTTTGAAGCAGGGGCAGGGGGCTCAGGAATCCTGGATGTCGGCTTCAACTTCCTTGCATCAGATCTCCCAGTATGAAATGAAATCCCAACCTTGAATAAGAACTCTTCTTCAGTGTATTTGCTCATATGACGAACCTCAAATAGAAGATGTTCGAGATCAGAAACTTTCAAAATTCTTATTATGTCTTCCTCACTGACATGCAGAGGGGATGGCAGATCCCTCATTTTCCCCCACTTCTCTATCAAGCCCCAATCATTCTTCACAAAAAAGAAAGTATTGATCCAGTTCTTTGAAGAATCGCGGGTACGCACATCCAATTTGGATCTAAAAGTCACACGCCCAGATGTATCGCTGGTGAACTTACCCATCCGTGAAAGATGCTCCGGGGTCATAGTAGCTCCTCGATCCCGAAAGAGAGCAATCAATCCCATAGCCACTGACATTGCTCTAAATGAAAGTTGGAATATGCTCACGCCGCACCATTGCAAGACTTCAATCAGCTCAGTAGGAGGCGGAAAACGTAAACCAGCCCGCAAGTGGGCCTCAGAAACAGTCACGTACCCAGCAGGAGGAAGATTCGCCCGATCAGACCTCCTCGGGACCATTGTCTTCACATCATTCGGAAAGTAATAATTCTTGCGAAAAAGGAACATGAAGTCATTTGTAACAGTCGACGCTGACACATCCACCTCCTTATTTGGCCTCTGCTCGCCATCATGCGGCGCAACGGGGTCCCCCCGGATCGCAGGATCTCTCGGTAGGGGGCGATCACCTGACATTTCTCTTAGAGGGAGAGGGGGAAAAAAGAAAATCTCCGAACTTCCTTGCCAAGAGAGGGGCCTCAGAAGACTGAGGGAAGGCCTCAATAGAAAGGACAGAGGGAGAAGATCTCCGAACTTCCTTGCCAAGAGAGGGGCCTCAGAAGACTGAGGGAAGGCCTCAATAGAAAGGACAGAGGGAGAAGAGAAGAAAGGAGGAGAAGAAGAGAAGAAAAGAGAAGAAGAAGAGGAGTGGAGTGAATTTCTTAAGGAATTAAGGCCCTATTTATAGCTTTTTGGGAGAAAGAGTGGAAGTTTCTAGAATTTTTAATTTCCCAAATTTTTCTAAATTTTTCTGAATTTTTTTGGAATTTTTTGGGATTTTTTAGGCATTTTTACGGCCAAAAAAGGCCTAAAAAAGCCTAAAAAATCATTATTTCTGCACAGGTGGGGCCCACTAGGTCGGTGGGCTGAACAGACCCGCCCGTTCGTTCAAATAAGGCGGTGGGAAGCTTCCAGGCGGGCTGACCGCGCGGGCTCAGGCGGCCCAGGCGGGCCGCCACGCGGGCCGACATGCATGGGATTAC